AGAAAAAGCGCTGAAATAGATAGAGTCTGTTATCGATAAGATGTCTCGCAGGCCGTCATTAGTGCTCTCGGCTTTGCTGAGAGGTAATAGATTAGTATGAACTTACTAGTCAGTCTTTGCTCGCAATGAGGGATGTAGGCAATTTTGATGAAGTGTTAGTACAGGTAGGGATTTGTCATGCTTGTAGAAACATGGAAAGACGCTGAAAACTTAGGCAACTAACTCCTCTCTTGCGGGAATTTTATCCATATGTTTGTGACATTGCTGGTGGTAACATATCAGAAATCAAAAGAAAGGGGCCGAATTTGACTTGGCTTTGCTAGAAACGTAGATGGTCACTTCATTTTTGGCGACACTGTTATCCCGTTGCTGTTTATTGTTCTGTTGTCTTGTCGTTGATTGTTTATTTTAGCACTGTTGTCATACTTGAGTTCCTATCATTCCCAGAGACTTCTTCATTGATTAGAACATGGATTCGATTTCGATTCATTTCAATAATCGATACCAGTTTATCGATTTCATTGCGTGATTTGAAAGATAAAACAATAAAAGGAAAGTTGGCTTGGTCTGGAGCAATCGTCCATATGTGATTTTTAGGTATTTATACAGCTGAAAACTATCGTATAACTAATATATAAAGGCGTCTAAGTGGATAGCAGACGTTCACAACCACTGCAAACCATGTTTTCACTTGCCACTGTAGCCTTGTTGGTGAGTAGAAGTTTGCACGGATCGTTATTTGCTTACGAAGTATAACTGAATAAATGTTTTCAGACCCTTCTAAGCACATCTGGGCATGCATGTAAGTAATTTGCGATGAACTGCTTATCTCCTCAGCAGAAGATCTTCAAAAGAATGAAATTTCAGCCATGTGTCCAGACACCAATGGTATGTCAGATGAAGTAAGACAGACCTTCGTCAACAAACACAACGCGTATCGGTTGGTTTTTCCCAGTGGAACAGTAAGATCACTTGAGTACACTGTAATCACTATAACTATTTAGAACACTCGTTGCCAAGGGAGAAGCGAAAAATGCCAAAGAGATTGGTGGTTACGCTCCTAAGGCAGCCAGGATGTTGAAAGTGGTAAGACGGAAAGGCTTACCGCAGCTAGACAGGGGTCATGTGCACTTTGCATGAGAGGACTTCAGGGAGTGTCTCCCATGCTGAAAAATCGTTTATTACTATATAAAGGCAAGTGTGTGCATAGCAGACGTTCACAACCACTGCAAACCATGTTTTCACTTACCACTGTCGCCTTTTTGGTGAGTAGAAGTTCACGTTATTCATTATTTGCTTTCGAAGAATAACTGAATAAATGTTTTCAGACGCTTCTAACCACATCTGGGCATGCATGTAAGTTATTTGTGATAAACTGCTTATCTCCTCACGAGATGACCTTCAAAAGACTGAAATTTCAGCCATGTGTCCAGATACCAACGGTATGTCTGATGAAGTAAGACAGACCTTTGTTAACAAACACAACGCGTATCGGTTGGTTTTTCCCAACGAAACAGTGAGATCACTTGAAAACACTGTAATCACCATAACTATTCAGAACACTCGTTGCTAAAGGAGAAGCGAAAAATGCCAAAGAGATTGGTGGTTACGCTCCTAAGGCTGCCAGGATGTTGAAAGTGGTAAGGAAAGGCTTACAACAGCGAGTCAGGGGTCATGTGCACTTTGCGCGAAAGGACTTCAGGGGGTGTCTCCCATGCTGAAAAATCGTTTATTACAGAAGTACGATTGCGCCATTGAAGAAAACACGATGAATTTCGCTAAGAAGTGCGTATTTGCGCATAACTCATATTCTGCCAGGAACAATTGGGGACAAAACCTTTATATGACATCCGTTTTGAAACAAAATAAGACAGTAGCCGCAGCCGAGGTGAGCAAATCCAAACTTTGTAACAGTTCGCAGTGAAGTCAGCTGTTTCAGAGTGTCGATATGTGGTTCGATGAACTACAACAGAATGGTGTTCCTGATGATAACGTCATGACCATGGCGGTTTTCAATCGTGGCGTTGGTCATTATACCCAGGTGACTCGAGGATCTTTAGAAGGTGGTGGCGCCTAATAAAGGAGATACCTGATTTTTAAGGTGGTCTGGCAGTGGAGCAACAAGATCGGATGCGCAGTAGAGTGGTGTAGTGACATGACCTTCGTGGCATGCGAGTATGATTCAGCGTACGTGTAATTTTTCGAAGTCGGAGCTTATGTCTTACTACGAATGATAGACGAATTTCAGAGGAAACTATATGGGAATGCCTATTTATGAAGTTGGCAACCCGTGCACGAATAACGAGGACTGCAAATGTACAAATTGCGTTTGTAGCCGAGATGAAGCTCTCTGTGTTGCCCCATAGCAAGCACTGGCAATAAACCTTCATGAACCTATGGAACAATTTGCAATTTTCAATCTTTTTTTTTGACGAAAAATTTCCAGTTTATGTTTTTGAACATGGTTTAAAGAAGAAAGATAGAAGTGCTCCTACGATGAAGGGAATAGAAAATTGTTTGCACACTTTCGAAGGAGTGTCATGAGAAACCTTTGCAGCACACCCAGCGATGGAGTAGGTTGGTACAACAGGACAGTTTTCGAAAACTGAAGCAAGCAAAAAAAAACCCAAAAAACTGATATTTCTTTCACTCTATATGTTTTTTCTCTCACGCTTTCATCATTCACTTGCTATGTTAAGTGCGTTTCGTTTACAATATTTTTAAGGGAGAACACACCTACTCATATGCTCAATGCCACTTTTGGGTGGAACATCGACTTTGGAGAGACCATTTAAGCTTCCAATCCTTATGAATACCTGCTGAGATCATTCGAATTGATCCGGCAGTGTTGATTGTGAGTAGTATCGTAGAAAAGCAAATTAATAGGGTAAACTAAATTTAGGGGTTGTTCTATCTATTTTTAAAGTTGCCAATTTTTACCCTCTACAATTAGGAGTGGGATTATTAATAGAAGAAACACAAACAGTTTCCACATAATTTATTAGGTTGCATTTGTTGAAACGAGATTTAGACACTTCGTCGACGCCTTTGTAAATAAAATTTCCAAGAAGCTTTTTTCCAATTCTCTCCCTCCTCGAAGGTCGCCCACTTTCAAGGTTCCTTTTGAAAGCACCCTTAGCGATGCCCTTGAAATGAACTTTCCATCTTGGCGTAAGTGTTCAAGTTTCGGGCTAATTGTATTCAAATGGATAAATGTGCGCGCTAGTTACTAGGCACATTTATAGCACGAACCCAACACAGCCACCACACGCCAGAAAAAATGTAGAAATGAGCATTTGCTACACTGGAAAAAAGTTTAACGGTAGTAGGAATTCAACTGCTTCCTTGATTCTTCACGTGTGTTCCACTCCGGCAGAGCAACGAGTTTTGTTAAGCCTTGAGAAAAGGCATGAGCCGGATAAGTTTTTTGAAAAGGAACGTGCGTGGATGGTTCCTGAGGTCCTTCTAAAAGCGAAAGAATATGATTCCATAACGACTCGTTTTTTTAGCTTTCATTTCGAACCGTAGTTTTTCAATAAGCGATGTAGGAAGTCAAGGATGCGCCTAATGTTGATAGAAAAGCGCATTTGAAGTGGGGATGTTGCGAAAAAGAATTTAGGAGAAAGTGGACGTTTCTTGAGATTACTTGTGTATTTCCTCATAATCCTGCTCCAAGCGGTGAAGGGGAGTGCAATGGGAGAAGATTAAAGTAAGTAGAACATCTCTCCAACAAAATTATCTGAGCTTGTTTTCTAGGAGCCTATCCTACTTATATAATCTGCCAAGCGTGTCTGTTGGTGTGTTTGTGCTTGTGTGTATGTGCGTGTGCGTGTGTAACCGGCAATATATAACTCCCGTCCCACTACAGATAAAGCATCCAAGTTCGGAAGTGAGATAAACGGCAGGATACGAACACTGATGATAGGTGATAGGGAGTGGCAACAGTAGATAGAAACTGATAAGCAGACTTGAAAGGCAAGAGCCAGAGGATCCGCAATTCCCTTCCTATTGATGGTAATGCCTTGGCGCTTTGTCAGACGGTGTAGGATGTGAAGGGATCGTTGGTGATTGGTGACAGGGAATGGTAACAAGTGATAGGGACTGATAAAAAGCCATCAGGTGGGAGCCACTAGGACTGTATCGCTCTTCATGTTAACGGTTAAGCTTAGGTAACTTGGTAGGTGGTCTGGGATGGAAAGAGATTATAGACGAATGGTGACACATAACATGTTTTAAGAGCTTATAAAAAGCCGTGAAAACGAGAGTCACCAAATCTGTAACGCACTTTTTGTTAATAATGGAATCTTGGAATTTTAATAGGTGAGGTAAGGTGTGACATGATCGTATGCACTCGGTGCTGAGGTGATGACTATTGACCAGTCGGGCCGCCCGGCTAACGCCGTTCTTCCCTCCTCCTTATGGTGTCGCCCGTCTTCGCCGGGCGCTCCTCCTTCCTGTAAGAATTTTCCTATGAGTTAATAACACTTCGGATTCTTCTTTTTCCCTGAAAGCTCTACACTCTCAGTACTAGCTCCAAATTGTGAGCGTTTTTTTCTGTATTATAATTAATTAAATACTAATTAGAAGTCTCGATTCATTGCACTTCATTCAAAATCGTGTCACATTGATGGCTTAACTGATCGAAAACCAATGTCTTGAATGGTGCCCAGGAATGAATAATAGCGCCTATCACAAATTTCGTTATCAATGGAATATTTTCCCCACTGATTTTCATTAATAGGAAATCCCAAATCATTAGCGGTCAGATGAGTTTAGTCACAAATGATATGTTACAAGACAAAAAGGAATCATGTTACTTCATTGTGTCACAAAGCTTAATGCGTAACGATCGTAGTTTAATAGCAAGAAATGAACAAAATTCCCATTCCGATATGAAAAAATGTCTTTGATCGGTCGCTATCACTGGATTTGCCCGCCTTATTGAATGAAACATTTTGAAGAGTTAGTGTTTGTTTATAAACACCCTTTTGCTCTCCAGGGCCCCTTATCAGTCCTTATCTGTTGTTATCAGTTCCTGTCACAGAGTACCTACGACCACGACACAACCTACATTGCCGTCTTTGAAAAGGTTGACACGTTCACTGTTGACACAAAGGAGATTGCAACGCTTGCTTGCTTATTATTATCTGTCCTTATCACTAATTAACTTCGGCGCCTTTACATCCTGCATTATCTACTGGAATGCTCAGTTTTTAGTATGAAAAACTTTGTAGACTTATTGGCTCTCGCCTCCTGTCAGTTTCTATCAGTATCTAGCAGTTATCAAAATTTCAGTTCAAAGTTTGTCGAAGCTCTGCCGTTAACAGGAAGTAAGTAACGGTTTTTGTGGCTCTCTCCTTTCAAGGCTTTTTATCAACTCCTTTTAACTATTATCACCGCTTATCACCAAACATCAGTGTTCCTATCCTGCTTCCTGTACTCCTAATAACTTTCAATGCAATATGACCACGTAAACAGGAGCTATGAATTTGCGGCCCGAATTTTCACTGCGCAGCATCGCCCCCTGTGGGCGAAGTTCGATCTTACTACCTGCCATAACTANCGTCTTCGCCGGGCGCTCCTCCTTCCTGTAAGAATTTTCCTATGAGTTAATAACACTTCGGATTCTTCTTTTTCCCTGAAAGCTCTACACTCTCAGTACTAGCTCCAAATTGTGAGCGTTTTTTTCTGTATTATAATTAATTAAATACTAATTAGAAGTCTCGATTCATTGCACTTCATTCAAAATCGTGTCACATTGATGGCTTAACTGATCGAAAACCAATGTCTTGAATGGTGCCCAGGAATGAATAATAGCGCCTATCACAAATTTCGTTATCAATGGAATATTTTCCCCACTGATTTTCATTAATAGGAAATCCCAAATCATTAGCGGTCAGATGAGTTTAGTCACAAATGATATGTTACAAGACAAAAAGGAATCATGTTACTTCATTGTGTCACAAAGCTTAATGCGTAACGATCGTAGTTTAATAGCAAGAAATGAACAAAATTCCCATTCCGATATGAAAAAATGTCTTTGATCGGTCGCTATCACTGGATTTGCCCGTCTTATTGATGCAAGTCACATATCAGCATAGTCCGATGCAGCATAGTCACAATAATGCCATCAATGACGAGATAGGGTTGTGAAAATGGTGTATGGGTCTTACCTAAGTTGGGCTGGCAGTGCCATTTGCATTCTCATCAGACCTTCCGCTGTGAATCAGTATTACAAGCGATTGCAGACTGTCTCCCACGATTCTGAATTGCCGTTAGCCGAGCCAAACATCATCCAAAAAACTTTATTTTGTGTTTTTGATGGACCTCATGCATTGCATGAGGAAAAGAATCACTCCACCTTCTGCAGAATGTGAAGGTGACGCTCGACTAGCAGGATACCGAACCTTGGCCGCACTCTTTATAAGTCTCCACTGAGGAATGCTATTGTGGGCCAATGAAATGCTGTCTATGCCGACCCTAACCCTTACATTTGTCTGCTGCTTCGTCAGTTGTTCTAATTACTCACAGTTCTCCGACATTTGTAAAAGGGTCGGATAGCCCCGACACCGGGCTTCCCTCTCTCTCTCTAACTTCTAGTAATAGGCACCCCGATACAACATTTTTGAGTCTGACGATATTTTTTTGAACAATAAATTCGACAGTGCCTCTACATCTTTGAAACAGGACGCAAAAAAGAGGAGCTGACATAAGCAGGGCGTGCCAATGGCAGTTAGGGTCTCCCGATGCTTACGCCTACGATTAAAAGTGTTCACTACCTGCTCTTCATCTCAAAAATTATGAGCTATTGAAGGTTCAACTCATAGGCAACCGAAAAATACCGTAGCTCTCACTAATGTTCTCAAGCGATAATACCCCATTATCAGATGTCGTTATCAATGGACATGCTTTCTTCCACGGTTACATCATTGGTTGAGAATCCCAGATTATTAGCGATCGCATGAGCTCTGTCGTAAATGATCCTACCTTATATAAGTCGCTTAGTGTGTCTGTTGGTGTGTCAGTGTGTTTGTGTGTNTGTGTGTCGGTGTGTGTGTCTGACCGGAAATTCATAAATCCTGTCCCCGTGTACCTAGAAAGCTCAAATTTGTTAGGAGTACAGGGGGCAGCATGAAAACACTTATGTTGGGGGCAGGAACGGATTCCATGCTTAGGGGGCGGGCGTGCGCGATAGAAATTGTGGGCCGCAAATTCATAACTCCTGCCCCGTGGACCGAGAGCTTTCAAACTTGGTAGGAGCACGGGGGGCAGGATGGAAACACTTTTGGTGGGTGGCAGGACCGGACTCCGCGCACAGGGGGCGATGCGTGCACAATCAAAATTAATTTGGGCCGCAAATTCATAA